GGTTCTGAGTTTTCAGGGAGTGACCACAAAACAGTGCTGTGTGCACTGCCACTTCCGTCAAGTAGCAATGCAACCCATACCCCTACTTCACAACAAATAACTTACAGGAACTACAGTAAGGCAGACTGGACTCTAGTAAAATCAATGCTAAGATCCTCAGAATGGAGTGAGTACTTCTATACTGATAGCCTCTCGAAAGCTCTAGACATCTTTTACTATAACTCCAACATATGCTTAGATGCTGTCATCCCATTTCAAACACTAAAGTTTTCCCCACATAGAAAGACATTCATAAAGCCAAAGGATCGTAGGAAACTGAAAAGACTGTCAACAAGTTACTTCAGGCGACACGACTTTAGTACACTAGGGTCAATACTTAGTACTCTTAGCTCCATCTCGCAAGCTCATAACTTGCGTATGAGAAATGAAGAATGCACGGCACTAGCCAGCACCACCAGAGTAGGTGCTCTCACAGAAATACTAAAGAAACGAATGAATATCTGTTGTCATTGGTCACTGCGCATCCGATGTTTCGGCCCAAAAGCAGTTCGTTTAGTCCTCCTTTTTACTCTTCCCAGGGCATCCTCATCTAACTCCATTATGGATAACATTTTATTTGGATAAATCACAGAATGTTGTACAGTAATATTTAATGGTGGCTTTTCTAGCACAAACTATTGCTCATAATCATATCAAGGCGCTACTCACACAACGTTTTCGCTTCATTTATATATGTGAGTAAAACTGATTAGACATTATGTGGCTGTCAATAAGTAGGACCGGCGTCTGGATCTCAAGAAACACAAGCTGGATTCTTAGCTGCATGTTGTTCAAGTGTCGAGCAATCACATGAGCCACTACGTCCATATGAGTTTTGCTGGTTGTTGGGGGATTAGGCGGCTAGTTGACCTAAGATCTAGCTGAATAGAGACATAACTCGGTCGTTACACAGTCAACATCTAAAGATCAGGTGCTGATGGGGTGAACTTCATTTGGTGACTATCATGATATTACCGGAGTTCTGTCACCCATTATAACTATAATGCGAACACAAGCGGTCAAATGTAACACGATGTTGTGTCAAGTGCCATGAATACTTAGTTGTGCGCCTTCTTTTTTTATCCTTCACGTTCCCCAGTGGAACATAGGGCTTCAACCTAGTGGCTTGAAGTTTCTGTAGCAGTGTTTATTTTACAGGATGGGGTTGCTAGCCTCATGCCCAACCTTTCCTCTTTGCCAGCATTATTTCTGGCTTAGCGAGGTAAAGGAGTTCGTCGGCCGGGGATCGAACCCCGGACCATGTGCATGGTCGGTGAGCGTCCTAAGCGCTATGCCACCGACGCACACTGTGCGCCTTCACTATAACTAAACCACTTAGGCAGTAAGAAGTGAGGATAAAGGCTACCTTGACGTATTTACAAGAAGTGAAGGTAAACATTCAATGTTGAGTGATGAAAGCTGTGGGCTAATAACTTTGGAGACTATTTGCCGCTGCACGACCTACATGATTTGCTGCATTCTTCCCTGTAGTTTTCAAACTTCTGTGAATGGAGTTCTATCAAAAACTATTTTCCAATATTATCGAAACACCATTTAACTTGGTAAATTCTGTGGTTCTAACAAAAATATTAAGGTGTACGAAAATACCTCAACAATGCCATCAGGCTACTTAAAAACCTAAAGGTTTCTTACGTATAATAAAAGTAACTAACCTAGTCAAACTGTTAAACAACTGGGAATCGACAAGTGTATTCCCGACAAAACGGAATTGAAACTCTATTCTCAAGAATCAAATAAAACAAAGCAGGTTCCCTTCAGACAACCAGAAGGCGAAAAGCCGCTCCACGGCTCAACCTTGAGCTCATTCAAGCAAAATAGCGATTGTAAAACAACAAATTATTGCAAAGAGTTTGGCATTACACAAGGGTGAAGTTAAGCATTAAGAATGTGAAAACACAAAAACAAAGATAAGGGGGAAAGACTGATTTCAAGAAGATATGGTGACAAAGAGATCAAAAGAAAAGAATGATAATTACAAAGTTAGTTGAAATACTGAAACAAGTATCAACTTTTGAGGAGAGATTTTCAAATCAGTCATACCGCTACATACTTTTGTCGCCGTAGCAAAATTAAGGACAACCAGGGTCAGTCAATATTATAGGAGCATATGAAAGCGTCAATAGCAGTTATTATTATTAATAGTATTTATTATTTTAGTCCTGAATTTTATGTGCGAGAAAATCTGCATTTCGAAATAGACGTGCTTCGAACTTCGGCTTTCAATGGTGGATTTCTGTAGCAGCTTTGTTCCCAGCGGCCCTGTATACTTTTCTGGTCTCAGGAGTCTCAAGTGTAGTGAACATGTTGCAGCATTTGTCTCAGTAACTTACGAGTCTCTCGGCTTATCCAAGGAGGGAAATGTTTCCAGCCCTCTGGGACAGATCAAGGGATGAAACGTTCGGCCGCTTGGACTGATTCCATGTGGCTCCTACTTGGGACTCTGGGTTAATGTACCAGTTCACTGAGTTGGTTGTTGAGACGACCACATGTATGTCAACTTTTCAAACGTGTGGTCGAGCTGCAGTTTTGGCCCACGATACTGCTGTTGTGAACTTGAAATTGAACTCAGCGTGATCACTTCCTCCTAGAGGAGGAAGATGTTGTATGAGATCCAATTTCTCTCTATGGGAGAATACTAGGTCCAGGGTTGAAGAGGAGTGCCGTGAGTCATAGCGCGTGGTCTTCATGATATTTTGAACTACGACTAGCAAAATACCAGATTCCAGTAGTTTATGATCGAAGTTGTCTGGAGATGGTGTTACAAGGCTTGTCCAACCGACTGTTGGGGCGTTGGGGTTGCCAATCACGAGACTTCAACATTTCGACCTCCAGGTGTCTAGCTTCTCTATTAGGAAGTCGTCTGCATTGCAGTCAGGACTGCGGCATATAACAATTTGGTAAATATCTTGGCCTTATCATTTAAGTCTGCAGTGTAGAAGTTCTCACGATTTTACTTTCATGTGAGAGAGATTCGATGCTACGTATGGTTAAGCATCTCTTGAGGCAGATGACTACGCTACCTCCTTTACGGTTTAGCCATTCCACCCCACGCACTATGAAGTTTGGCAGGTTAACTTCGTTATCAGTGACATCGGATGTGAGCCATGCCTCTGTGGTGATAATTACATCCGGATTTCCGAACTTTATAGCCCCGTTCAGTCAGTTCGTTCAACAGGCTGTGGGCGTTTGTGTAACAAACTGTCAATTCAGTTCGGTGCTTCTTCGACCTACCCACAGGTTTCAGGATTATCAAACTTTGAACTCTGACTACCTGAAAACCCTTAACGTTAAGGATTTTTCTCCGTTTTGCCTGTTCGTTAGGCATACGTGGGCGTGGACATATACGCCTGCTTCTTTAAGAGTCTGGGAGTTCGTTAGAATGGTATCCCTCTCTTCTTTGGAGTTTAGTGCGACTTTGTGAAGGCGTGCTGGCTGATTTACTGCCGAGTCAGACTTGTGGCCGAATCTGTGTTAGCTGTGTGTGGTTATGCCTGATGCCGTTGTTGGCAGTAGCTGGGGCTTGATCAAGTTAAGGTCATGCTCGAACCTGACCTTGGGATCGGAGGCCGGTGATTCTTCCACTTTGTGGAGAATGAGTGATAGTATCCCACACACTTTGTTATCTTAACGACTGTTAATCTCGCATAAGTGGTATATTATCATTTCTCACACACTTTGTTATTGTTCAATTATCTTAATGACTGTTAATCTCGCATATGTGTTATATTATCGTTTCCCAGGCACTTTGTTATTTTTCAATTATCTTAATGACTGTTAATCTCACATAAGTGGTATATCATCATTCCCACGCATTTTGATACTGACTATTACGACCAATTATTTCAAATACTGTTAGCTGTCTCTGTTGGTTGTAAAATTGTATAAATACCATTTCCTAAATAAGTTATTTGTCGTTGTAGTCGTCGTCGTAGTCGTAGTTGTTGTACTACAATATACAGTCACAGACCAGACTTTGTCTTTTGATATTTGCGTGGTTCGTTAAATCGGAAGGTACCAGTAGCCGATAGGCATATTAGTCAGGCGGAGACAGAACAAGTCAACAACAACGTACCTCATTTAATTCCGGCCACGGTTATAACAATGAGGGACCTGTCAGAGAGATCAGGTTTGCTCGCCGTCCCTTTCTTGCTATGCAACGTAAGCGTCTTTCTGTCCTTCGAGGACAGTATGACCATTACGGTGCCCTTATCTCGCTTTTTGCGGGAGACTACATTATGCCATTCATTGGCCCTCCTCGCTATCCGTGGGCGATTTTGTCTGCTTGTTATCCACCGGTGTGGGTGAGGCTTGGTCTACAAATCCCCAGGTGATTTTATCTGAAGGGTTTTGTCCCCTGGTACGCCTTTTCTTCGCGCCAGTCTTTCCATTACAGTCACTGAAGGGCTTATCGGGTATCGTAGGAGTAATGTGTGTCTGGAATGTGGTGGACGTTCTTCTGTGCTGAGGGGCACTCGCTGACAGAGACTCCCTACTTTCAGTTTGTTTGGCTTACTCAGTCTCTATATTCCTTCTCAAATATCCTATTATCAATTTCCCAAGATTGCTTGTCAACTAAACTGGAGGATTGCTTACAGATACGGAATTTGGAATTCTCAGAAATACCAGTGCCCTATTGAAAATTATGCTTTCTCCGAAATACAATAAATTATCTCTTATTGAACTCAGCAGAACCTCAAAAGTCGAGGTAGTTGACCGTACTAGAATCCGCCGTCACTAAACAACAGGAAGCACGAGCTAATAAATCGTTATGTTCCTACAGCCTTGTGAGGAATACATTAGATATTAGCTCGCGAGAAGGATATTAGACTTTTAATGACTACGTTAGACCTGAAAATATGAGAATTTTTCATTTTATGTGAAGCTGACTTCAGATGAAAGCGTAGTGTTCCTTTTAAATGTGTTTTAATCACTCGGTAGAAGTTACGTTACCGTGCCTTCGAATGGCGATTTTTGAAATTTACCGTTGCCCTATTATTCGTGAAGTTCATTTCCCCTTTTTCCACATTGGGACTCTATTTAATTTGATAATAACTATAACGTCAATTATTGTACCATTCTTTATTTGCTATCGTTCTGGTGGTAAGTGTATTTTGCTTAGTGTGGTAGTTGTACATGCTTTCATATATTTGTTTAACACATTCTACTCATTTTGACTCCATGTGTGCTCATTTCACACCTTGCAGCTTTACTTAAGTATGGAAACCTATTAAGATTTGAAAAACAAGTGAAGAATAGCCTAGTCGTAATGACCAGGCTTGGTACGTAATTATAAGCTAGCTGTAGCCCACTTACCGTGAGTTAGGGAATATAGGCACAGTATCACGAGGCAGAACTTTATAAGGAGGTGACTGATAGTGACATATATCTGTCACTGGTAGTAGTGAATACGCAAACATTCTCAGTCATCTGAGATGACAAATTAGCTAATAGGAATTCGAATTACTTTTATCTGCATAAAATCCATCAATTATTAATAAATAATAATAATTGATGGATTTTGCCTGCATAACTGTTAACTCAGTTTGAATTTCAGTTAAATTATGTTGGAAAACAGTGATACCTGTTAGTATCTATTTGTGGATAAGTAATAAGCAGAGTTTCTCATCAAACTCTAAGTATAACAATGGCCACCCAAATAGCGAATTGACATGGAATTTTACACACAAATATACCATTTTGGTTTATCACACCAGACAGTACGCAGAAATGAAGTAAAAAGAAATGGAATAGTGTTAGAAATGATATACGCAAATCTGATTTGGGAAATGATCGCATGAAAACCTTTGGAAAGTTTAGAAGTTTAAATTCTCATGAGACGCGAACACGTCCACGTCATAAACACCTCAGTACAGCTTGGAACGGACTGATCGGTTATGATCGTTTATACGCAAAGGGAAATAACAAAATAAATACAGACTTGTGACAAGGTATATATATATATATATATATTTAGATGCATATATGTGTAGAGAGGAATTCAATGAATATATATATATATATATGAAGATAATGAAGTAATGCAGAGTAAGTCGCTGAACAGTATGCACCCTGTTTGATGAGTAGCTGAACACACTGTCAGTACCAGACGAGATGAAACTCAGTTATCGTTAGATGAGTCTTTTGCATCTGTGCTAAGATCATATCAGTGGCCAAACCACTAGAGCTTATATAACCCCACCTTTCCATATTCTCAATATAAACGTGAGCGCCGACCAGTCACATAGCATAATTTTGTGTTTAAAACACAAAACTTTGTGTCAAACTTATTCAGATTTATGCCTGACACATTTAGAAGACTGAATTTTCTTAGCCCTTTTATCTAAAAGGTCTGTACCATCCCATTATTCTAAATCAAGCCCTCCTTTTCCTAAATCGAGTCATTTCTTGAGAGTTCGAAATTGAACTGCTTCTTCTCCATAAGTGTACAACAAAATTAACCAAGAATGCTGGTAGTGAGCACTCCAGTTAAAAACGAGTATTTGCTATACCTTCAAACAATAACTACCAATAAACTATTGAGTGTCTACATGCACTTGACTAAGTGCATTGATTAGCATAATATACTTTCTCTTCATTTGATTCATGGCGAAACATTGTTACAACACATCCCGGTTGACAAAGTTGTGTGCAACCGTCAAGGCAAGAATCATGGCATGTTTCAGACATATGCAGGTTTGTGGTTCACCCTCTCAGTTCTTTGGATAGTTATCATACTTAGTATCCTAGATTGCAATAGTAATATTTGTTTCCTTTGTTGCGAACTTATACGATCACAGTAGAGCAGTGCATTAGTAGTGGTTATTACTATTCCTTTGGGTTTCGAGTGGAACACAGGACTCCAAAAGCACATCTCCATTTTGTCCGGTTCTCTGCAGTCCTCTCAAGCTGGCTTCACGATTGCCTACAATCTCTCATCTCCTCCTCAAACGGTCTCCTCCATGTCACTGTCAGATCCACACCCAACTCATCGATTTCCATTCGGGTTCCATTCGAATGACGACCTGTAGGACCATGTCACTCGAGAGTCTACTCAACGTGTGTCCGATCCATCCCCATTTTCTCTTTCATATTTGTTGAGCGACTGGTTCTCGTTTGGTTTGTTCTCAGAGTTTCTTGTTGTGATGATTTAAAACGGGGCATTTGCACTTATAATATTGTTCAATATGAATATAATATTAAAATTTAAGTGAAAATATCGACAGTAGTATAATAATGAAGAAAAAGAAAAGGATGGCTGTTTACTTTGTGTTTCTCAGTAGTTGGTATTGTCCTGCCCGAAACATTTCTCATCACATAAAACGTCTCCCGGCTAAATAAGGTATTGTAGAGTTTTTATACTTAGTCATCTGGGCATGGTCTTTTATCATTGCCCCTAGTCCTCTCTGATAATATGCAAAGAGGGAGGGAGAGTTTTGCTTAGAGAGGAGGCTCAGGGTGTGAAAAGATGACATTCACTAATTTCTTGGACGAGTTTATATTACTATCTGCAACAGTATTAGTGATTTGGTTTAGTAGCACCCCACTCGCCGTACTGTTAGCTTTTAGAGGCTATCAGTGGATTCGAGTAGGTGGCATTTCTTCCTTTTTGGGACTAATCAGCTGAATGCACTTGTTGCTTAGTGATTGGTGATGATGATGTTCTCATTGAGACTTGATTCTTGTGCTCATTGCTTCAGACATCGAGGCTTTATTCACTAGGCTGAAGGGTCAAATAGTTTTGAATCGCACGTCTTAGAGTTTACTGGTAGTCAACACTAAATAAGTAATTTCGAGTTTCCTATAAATAGTTTGTTTTTCTGCTAATAAATTAGTTTGTAAATTTTTTGACACTTTGTGAATACACTTTAGGCGTCAGGTTATTATTAATGTAATGACGTGACGAAAATTTAAAAGTTGAATATCAATCTACAGCTCAATGATAGCTACTGGACAGATGTCCTGAAGATGTCGCGAGGAGTTGTGGCCAATGGAGTCAACGATGTCAGAGTGTGAAGTGGATGCTCCTCGAAGGGACTGGTGAAGACTGGCTATATCATGTACAAGTTGGGAGAGTTTGAATTTAGGTGACACTGGATTCTAGCCCAGAATGGCTGCTGAATTTTCAACAGGGTTAGTCTCGTGGTCGATTCATAGTGGGATCATGTGTGCTCGCTCTCCAGTGTGCTTTGGTACTGATAGTAATTTACTCACTGAGTTACCGACTTATCTTATTTTCACCTGACTACGAGCTTTGGTGATATCGTGATTAACCTGTGTCGGTTTATTTGAGACAGACTGCTTGTGTCAGTGAACGAAGATTTCTTTATCATTTTGATTCTTTAGTATATTGACAACTTGAATCGCTCTAATAAACCCTGATTCTGTCTCTGAATAACAACGCACTCATATATATGACTTGGAACATGAGGACATTTGTCTCACTGATATATTTCAGGTTTTCAAATCACTTTTCTCCATAAATATGCACTCCGAAATCCCAATTTCATACCTTTCATGCCTAGTATTTGAACAACTATTAGGGCATATTTTAATTTCAAAGAAATCCTTAACAAAAAATCAACTGAAATTGGTAGGTGGTGAATAGCAGTGGAATCCAGGATGCGAATTTGTCCTATTCTGGACTCGTTATTTAGATGTACCTGCATTCCTCAGTGGTTGAGGGTGGTGTCCCTCCCATCGAGGCTCGAACCCAGTAATCATAGTTTCAAATGCCAAAGTGTTATCCACTAGACCACGTTGGCTACGAGAGCCACCTCTTTCTTGTGACAACGGGTGTCACTGATTATTCAATTCAATTTGGACTTTTCCGTTGATTCACTGGACCTAAGTGTTCGACCTCAGGTTGATATGCTGGCTGCTTTTGAAGATGGTTCGGCGATGTCTGAGGATTTATTCTGAAGTAATTTGGTGAATGGTGACTGGCATTTCGTCACTATCCACCAATTTTCTTCAAGGTGAGTCATGAGATATCGCGAAGCATCTGCACAAGGAGACAACATGCCAACGTGAGGCCGGACACTTTGTTCCAATCACTCGGCAGGAACGTTCAAACTGAATTAAAAATGTTTTTATATAATGTACAGAATCTTTAGGGAAATTTATTGCATAATAGATTCCTTCTGTTCAAGATCTTCAAATAAAAGTAGTAATTGACAGTAGATCGTGTGGCACAGTGCTGTTTCATCTGATACACAAACCAATCCCTCGTGATATTTCGTCTCTTTCTCCTTCGAGAAATGAACAGCACTTGATTGATATTCATTTGAAAAAGGAGAAGGAATATATTCTGAAACCCAAGGACGAAATGATGCAGGAACAATTATCTCATCTTTGGGATACTTTGCTACGCACGATTAAGCTTCTTCTCAAGTTTAGTAAAAACTTGTAAATCAGCGGGTTGTAAACACTTTTGAAGTACTCGCCGGCATAGAAAATACCATTAGAAGTCATATTAGATTAAAACATTAGATAAAAACAAAGTGAACAAGAGTGGCTATATTGGGATAAAATGATTATTGTATTATTTTTATGATTCCCTCGGTATCCAGTAGAACATAGGGCTTCAACAACACATTTACACTTTGTCCTGTTTTCTGCTGGGTCCTCTTCAGCTGGGTCTACGATTGACCAATCTATTTCATTTCATCCTCACATGATCTCCTCCATGTCACGCTCTCACTGACGACCCACTTGTCGCTTCTCATTTGGATTCCACTCAAGCAGTCGCCTGCATTGCGTGCGATGTCATTCGGAGTCCTCCTAAATGTATGCCCGAACCATCTCCACTTTCTATTAAATATTTGTTGAGCGACCGGATCCTGGTTGGTTTGTTCCACTGCAGAGTTTCTTGTAGTTTATTCTTTTTGGCCATTTGATCTTCAGTATGGAGCCAGCGAAGTAGGCAGCTGTTGATGAAAGTCTGCAATCTGTTGGAAATCCTTTTCGTTACACGCCAAGTTTCTGACCCATATAGAAGGATCAACTTGACATTTGTGTTTAAAATGCGAATCTTGTTCCTTATGCTGAGTGTAGAAGATTTCCAAACTGGTTTCAGGTTGATGAAGGTGTACCTTACCTTTCCAGTTCTGACTGAGTTTGACATCTTCGTCCATTCCTCGTGTAGTTGAAACGATACTTCCTAGCCAGATAAGCCAAGGAGGCAGCGTCTGTCAAATCTCTCCCGTTGATAGTGATAGGGGCTGGTTGTTGTTGCTGTTGATTAGTTATCTCCATCACTTCCGTCTTCTCTGTGTTCACTAGAAGTCCTGTTTTCGCTGACTCTTCAGCCAGTTTGTTGGTTTTCGCCTGCCTGCAAGTCTTCGAGTTTGTGTGCCATTAGACATATATCATCTGATAAATCCAGATCTTCTAGAGTCTTTTTATCGGTCAGTGCAGCGTATTCCTGACTCCTCGCTGCCAAAAGTCTGACGCATCATCCAGTCCAGCACAATTAAGAATATCACCGGTAATAATAGGCAGGCACCAGCTTGTCTTACTCCTGTATGCACTGCGAACGCCTCGTTGAGTTTTCCGTTGTGGATCACTTGACACGTGGCATTGTCATACATAGGCCTTGCATGTTTTATATAGATAGATTGACCTTGCTGTGACAACAACACATTAATGTAGATGACATCTGGGTAAGTAGTTGAGCTATCCTATTCAATTAACTTCATTTGTGTCATTCAACTCAAATTCCTATCTTTTAAATCCCCGCGTCTCTCTGTGTTTTGTTTTAGGATTTTGGTTAAGAGATTCAATTGATATTGAACAACCAAATGTTCACTTTTTAAAACAAGTTTATATTCAGCTGACGAGTACAAATCAAACAGTCTATACATGGAGTACATATACCGATTTAAATGCTCAATTATCATCAAATTTATTTGTTCCGCATATGTCAATTCAACAATTAGATGATAATTATGATGGAATATACGATAAATTAAAATTGAAAATCAATATACCAATTAAGGATACTTTTAATAAATTATATTTACTATTACTATTTAGTTATCAGTTGAAAGTAAGTATATAACGAAAGTTTGATTTTCTGTGTGTGTGTGTGTGTGTGTGTGTATCAAGTAAATCGCATTACTTTTTAATGTAGATGGTTTCAGTCTACTTATATCATTTAGTAGTATATACGCACTGCAGTAATAACTCTTTCCTTTTTGAATTGGCTTATAAGTTTTATAGGGTTTTGAATTAATTTCAATGCAAATTTCATCAGGAACCAACACAGCTGTTTCATCCTGATTATGGACTCTTCATCAGTGAGATCACCGCATAACTTCATCTGGGGTGGAACCCAAGACTTTAGAGTTATGATGCCGCCTCGGTGACCATTCATGCAGTTGAGTAAACATCCAGTGACCCTTCAAATGTACCTTTTACGTATTTATGATACACCTTTATCGACCACCGGTCCCATCAATGGTCATCCGATTCGTATTGACGTGATCGACTCTACTGGCCACAAATTTTAATTGCAATTTCAGGACGTTCATCCAGTAGCTACCAGAATATTTATGTATATATGATGGTTATAGGGAGTGGGCAGGAAGCTTTGTCGGAACATAGATTTCATGCTAGTTGGCACTCACCAGACAGCAAGGAGTATCTGCAATCACGAAGGAACTGATGTCACTTCTGAGACTCGAACCCGCGTCACCCAGTGTTGCAGTCAGAGACGTTACCACTGAAGTATTTGAGCTCGCGGCTGACCTCCTGTGGGACTGCATTGGATGCTTAGATTGGAGGACACTAGTAACTGGTGTAATGTATCTAGTCGCCGAAGGGATATGAGTTCCTTCAAGGTTACAGATACGCCTTGCTGACTGGTGAATACCAACTACCACGAAACCAAGGTCCAAGACCTTTTGCCTATTGCCTCCAACATTCTAATATCAACAAAAGCCCGTCGGACGCACGCCTAAATGATCGCTTCCTATTCTCATTCTACTTAAGGGCCTGGTATGTAGTGTCACCAAACCGTCTTCTCAACGTTGGACCAGTTTACCTCCATTTTCTTCTGCATATTTAGTTGTTGGTTGGTTCCCTCCCAGAGTTTCTCGTAGCTAATTCTTCCCAACTGACAACTTGGTCTTCAGTATGGAGGCAGAGAAGGAGGCAGGTGTTGATAAAAGTGTGCAGCTGGCTGTTGGAAATACTTTTCATTAGGAGCGCGCAGTTCAAGTTCCTGAGACATAGAACAACTGAGTAACCGATTTAACATTCATGTTTAATATTCCAATCTTGTTCTTTAATCTGAGTCCACTAATTTCAGTGTTGAATGTTTGTCCTGTCTTTCCAACTCTGGCGGGCTTCGACATTTCATTCGCCTTTAGTTGAAACGATGCTGGCCACCTAGATAAGTGAAGGAAGTAACCTCTTTCGAGTTTCTTCCGATGATAGTCATTGGTGCTGGTTGTTGTTGCTGCTGTTGTTAGTTGGTTATCTTCATCACCTTCTTCTTCTTCGCTATGTTCACCTGGAGACCTGTCTTCGCTTGTCAATCATGCGTGCTTGTTTTGCCAGTTTGTTGGTTTTCGTCTGCCTACCTGCCTGTAAGTCTTCGAGTTTGCCTGTCACTAAACGTTAATCATCCTCGGGCGAAATCCAGCCCTTCTTTATTCTTCTTATTGGTCAATGCAGCGTATTCCTGTCTTCTCATTCCCCGTGCACAGTCTGACACATAACTTGATTTACCACAATTGTGAATATCGTTGGTGACAATAGGCAGACAATCTTGTGATAACCCAGTATTCACTATGAAGGCTTCGCCGAGTTTCCCGTTGTGGATCACCCGACACTTGGCAAGCATTGTCATATAGCCAACTGTTGAATGAGGTTGTTAAAGATTTGTGGTGCTGCATGTCATAGTGTTGAAATAGTTTCCAAATTACTTCTCCGCCAACACCGCGCTGTCGAAATCCATTTCAAAGTCGATGAAGTTGAGGTAAGGAGATGTCTAACTGCCCTTCTATGCTTTGTTCGATGATGATGGGTAGTTTCAATCTGATCAGCACATGATTTGCCTCTCCCGAATCCAGCTTGTTCTTCTGTGGCTGGCGAAGTTCTGCATCCAGTGCATTTTTGATTCCCTCCAGAATGATGCAACTTAGTATTTTACTTGGAGTGGATAAGAGCATGATTACGCCTCCAGCCTTCTCTCTTTAGCGGGATTAATACCGACTAATTGGCGTTTACGGAGTGCATTAGCCACGAATCCAACCCTGAATTACATGTGGTGAAATTGGCGACTATTCTGCCTCTGAAACGCCAACTCAGACTCATTTAAAAATGAGGGAATATGACTCAGAAAAACCCTGAGTATGGACTACTTAATTCCTGAACATTTACTGAATGGTCAACGCGCTCGCGACGTATCCGAAAGGTTTCAGATTAGATGATTGGTGGGATACTGTGTCGGCTTTCAGATGAAGCATCGTGAACAAAGACGATACTACTAACCAGTAGTGACCTTTCATTTCCAATGATTCTTTTATTGATTCTCGGTTTATGAAGAAATCTACGTTGAAATTAACTGTAATTATTGAGAAAGTCAAAATTTTAATATTAAATGAATTTTTTGTGCGCATAAGTTACCTGCCTATTTGCCTTTTATGCGCTAATAGTTCCAACTACAGGAGATGAGATGAATATGACGGAAAACGCATAAATTCTGGCTTATAATCAATAATGAGTGATAATTTTCCCGTCTTTCAGTGATCTCTTTACCCTCACTAAAACGATTAACTAACACTGTACATTACACGAACTGAAGTTACTACTGAATGTGCTGTCTAGAAGGACAATGAAAGCTCCACAGCTAAACAGTTAAGCTCAGAGAACGCAACCATCTGAGCTAGAAATCTTTACTGACATTGCTGAGTCTTTCTCATTCATTCTTCTCCGTCCAATTGGAATATAGAGGTTAAGGTGTCAATAGCAGTAGTGTTGTTGTTGTTGTTGACTGACCGGGGTGCAAGCCTGACAAACAACCTCTCTTCTTCACCGTGCTTACCATCAGCTGGGCGACGTTCAGGAGTGCGTCGGGTTGGAATGTAAGCTGGACCACACGCATATTTGGGAGTTAATAATTTCATCTCATAGGTCTACACGTTAGCTGATCTAAAATACATGCTGTATCGTTTTCAGCTTGTCAAATAGATGAACAGTTAGAACACAGGTGACCAATAATTCCTGAAAATTATTACCACATAGTACTAAAAGAATTGTGGTTCTCTGTTCACGGATAAAGTAGAATCAAATCTTCTTCTCACTGTAAGAGAAAGCTGGGTCAAGTCAAGTGAGAATGTCATGCGTCTAGTCTATAATATTGGCGCTGGCTGGATTTCAACGGTTTGGAGGTAGACTGTGAAGTCAGATATCTGAGTGGTAGGTAATACCTCCGAGAAAGGATTATAATTTCCATCAAGTTTGCGGATACACCTTGTTGACAACTGCTAATAAGTACGAAGTCTAGGTCAAGGGCTTCCTGATGCCAATTGTCTTCGACTATCAATGAAAGCAGACAAAATTAGTCGGAATTGTTGATTACTGGAAAGAAAAAGATAATTAATAGGCACTTCTTCATCGATGGAAATTTCTCTGGAAAGATTATGCTTGATCAATTGTTAATGACGTTTATGGGGATGTCAATAGCTGCATACTTCAGTTACCAATTTTAGTATCCCATGAAGAATCAGTGAATTGGTTTCCAATCTTATTTTGCGACTGCATACTGTCGTTATTTGATGACAGTGGCCATCAGTAGAATGTATGAGGAGAGTTTCGTCATATTGGAGCCTCGTCACTGGATGTAGCTGTATCCCAGTTAGGTATCATGTATTTACTTTATGAGATTCGAACCCATTACTCATCCTCTGAAAATCTGAACCGTCATCTTCTAGAGTCCCGATGGCGATATTTCGTGCAATGTGTATTAGTTTTCACTTATTGAAGCTTTTGAATTTGGTGTTGTTCTAATTTACTGGAACGAAATACTTAAGATTTTGACACTTCGGCTCCTGGAACAGATGCCTAGAAGTTAACTGTTATATTCAGTATTATCTAGTTTTCAGTGGTTCCCTCACAGGTTTCAGTTTATGACGCCCACCTAGAAATATTATCATTTCTTCAATTATGACATTAATAGAATAAATCCTATAGTCGGAGACTTTTTGGATTGATGTCATCTGACTGTCAGCCTTTATTTCTCCTTTCCATTATAATTTTATTCCACCTAACATTGTTCGTTGAGTATGAGATTGATGGTTGTAGGCGTGTAACACATATCCAAGCTATCTCAGTCGCAGGGTCCATCTTCACAGGCTCATAGACTGAAACAGAGAAAACTAGTGTAGATGACTTATATTGCCTCTGGCCTTCCCTTTCATTGCACTACCTTCTCTTCAATCATAGAGTATTTCATTTTAATTTTAAATTTTTAGGAACGTTCTGGCTTGATGATGCAAACTCCACTGACAATTGAATTCGATACACCGAGTGTAATGGGATTTAGACAGTTCACCTTATACGGTCAACTGGCATTGTATCAAAGAGAACCGTTACTTGAAGGATATACAAATACGATGTATAATGTAGGTTATTTAATACTTGTTATATTCTATGGTAAGATAATTTTTTATATAAGAGGTGGACACTGAAAACTTTATTTCTAGAATTACCCTCTACCTGTAAGAGTGGAAGTGAGATGTAATTTGCTGGCTCAAACACTTGGTATACAGTCAATGGACACCGCGTATGACTTGTGCTCCATCTCCTCCTCTCCGGGTGTCTCAACAGTATTATCTATCAATCCTCAGACAACAGTGTGTACGGTTCATAGCTTGGCTTCAAGTTCCAACAAACTATTCGTTGCAGAAAGCCTTGGTGGTGAAAAAACTACGCTTAAGTCAGTAGAAGAGAGCGATATTATGAGGAGAGTTTCATCAATATGAACGATTATTCTTGGTCCTCCAAGGCAGGCAGTAGTTCTTTCTAACTTCTCTGACACTATGTCTCTGCAATTCTGATTCAATTGCAATGTAGACACGAAGTTATTTTCTGTCTTCGCTGATGCTGCCCTTACAACAGGCCTCTGCAAAATCCAACAGTGTATGAGGCGTAGGATATTTGACACAAATATATAGCTTAGATTTAGAGAAAATGTATCTTGGAAATAAGCAAAATACTGTACCTATCCTCATGAAGCGATTTTCTCTCATAGCATAAATTGCACCTATAGCAAAATATTTGCCTCCCAAGAGGTTGTATTGACTTACTGTCATACTCTCCCCATCACAAGCCTTTGTGACTCACTCCACTTAATCCCTTAATGGCACAGTAGTTAAATACTCAGTCTTCATGGGACTCATTCACTAAATCCATAAAGGCAGACGTGATCTCAATTTCGAATCAACTTTCGTAGTATTCGATAAATCTGATTGGCTTTTCAAGACGAAGTTTTGACTGACCTTGGCCTTAGCTGTGAGATAGATTGGCTTCGTCTTAATATCTGCAAAGCGTTTTACATTGAAAATTCAGTTCATCTGAGGTAAGTTTTAATTGAGTAACACTTTGGCGTTTGTTAGTCATGTCGGTTTATCAGTGGTACATTGCGTGACGTTTCCTTCAAGACCCTACTGTTATTGAAATAGTTACAATCACTTGAATTCAATTTTCGTTTTGTCTCTTTTTAATGCATAAAAGTATTCGATTCTTATGTCATCTTTATCGTGTGTTTGTGTGTGTGGATGTTTCATTTTATGTTACAGAACTCACTTGTGAATAATGAACAACACAGACTCAAAGATATTCAGTCTGAATCGGTGCAAAAGTTTTTGAGTCGTAGACACGGTAAGCGATTGACTAATGCTGATGAGTATTTGAGAAACCACTTTGAAAATTTCCTTGTTTGTTAGTGAAGAGCAGTGCGCTTTATTCTGCTTGTATGGTGGATGTAATCGTAACTGGACAAATAACTTTGGATCATAAATCCTGGTAACTGTTTGAGGGATAACATTCAAGCAGCTAATACTGATGTAATAGATCCTACTATTTTCTTGCTCAGATGTTTTCAGTGTAGTCAGAGGTGTTAACACTGAGCTACTCTGGTCCCTATTCATCTGCTGTATGGCTGTAATGTTTACATTGGTTGGTCACTGAGATATAGCCAGTATCATGTGTGTCTAGTTCCTAGTGTCGGTGACGACTGAATTCTGTCAATGAAGTCTGGAATGCAGTCATCAGCCTGGGGTATTGACCATCGAGATGTATTTTGAATCGATTTAAGGTGGTTGGAATCAAAACAAGAGCACATTGACGATGCATACCGAATCTTGGTTATTCCACAGTCATCAGGCAGCACACTGCGACTCCACTTCCTTCAGCATCATTGAGATGAAATCTATCTGGTTTGCCGTATGTCCGTCAGGCGAAATTCATGTTGCTTTTTGTATATCCTTGTGTTTGTACACGCCTCCTCCAATCACCAAGTCATTGAAAGCTCAGAAGTCTGAGAATAGTTCTCCGTTCTCATTCATTTGGCTGAGCAAGAGCCTCTTGATCCATGATGAGTTGTCTGCCTGTATTGTCTGCTTTCAGTTTGGCTAGCATTCATATCTCCCATGAGGATTTTGATTCCACCAATTGGGATGTTGTCCATTACTGTTTGTAATTGTCTGTAAAAATCTTCCTTCTTATCTTGTTCTGAGTTGTTTGTAGTGCTGTGCGTGGCGTGACTTACATCGGGTTGGCGTAAGTCACTGATCATCCCGAAATACAAGAAGGGAGACAAGTCTTCTTGTGATAATCACAGAGGGATTAGCTTGACTAATATAGTATCTAAAATCCTAGGCTCAATAATACTGCGTAGACTAAGTGGTGCTCGGGAGGCACAAACACGAGAAAACCAGGCAGGTTTTAGGCCAGGAAGAGGGTGTATTGATCATATCTTCACCCTTCGTCGACAGATTCTAGAACATAGGCATTCCTACCGGCGTCCGACAATCACTATATTTCTTGACCTACAGGCGGCATTCGATTCTCTCGACCGAGAGGTTCTCTGGTGATGCTTGGCTGTAAAGGGAATGCCGAGAAAATACACTGCACTGATTAAGGCACTCTACTCGTACTCATGCAGCCAGGTGAGGGCTTACGGCGAGTTGTCATCTGAAGTGGTGACGACTAGTGGCGTCCGTCAAGGATGCCCATTATCCCCATTCCTATTCAACTTCATCATAGACGTATTAATGGACTTAACCCTAACACACTTCAGCGACTCAGGGATTGACTTGCTACCAGGGAATAATCTCGTTGACTTAGAATATGCAGACGATATAGTCCTTCTAGGCGAGGACGCTGACAAAATGCAGAGTCTACTGAACACCTTGAGCAACAATCTTCGTATGTTTGGCATGCGATTCGCCCCTGTAAAATGTAAGATGATGCTGCAGGATTGGACTTCACCGACCCCTAGATTAGAAATAGGAAGTGAAGTGGTAGAGCACGTTGACCACTTCACTTACTTGGGAAGTACCATCAGCCAATGCCAACGGGTTGATCTCAGATGAAATTTCAGCACGAATACAGAGGGCTACTTTCGCATTCGCCAATTTTCGCCGTCTCTGGCGTAGACGTGATATCCGACTATCGACCAAAGGGCGTGTGTACTGCTCAACAGTCCGCTCCATCCTCCTTTATGGCTGTGAGACCTGGCCATTGAGAGCAAAAGACATGAAGAGATTATCTGTGTTCGATCATAGGTGTCTGCGTTCTGTTTCCCGTGTGAAGTGGCATGATAAGGTGAGCAATATTGAGGTTAGGACATCAGTCGAGTGCTAGGTAAGGAGGGGAGATCAATCGACGAGACTGTGAAATTACATCGACTGAGATGGTTAGGACATATATTACGTATGTATGCCTAGTCACCGCCTTCCTCGATGGGTAATGTTAGCTGATATAGGGCCAGACTGGAAAAGAGCTAGCGACGGTCAAACGAAAACATGGCTTCACCAGTCAATGAAATCGACAACAGTTAGTCTAAGCCTCGTAGGATCCTCGGGATGGTAAAAACCAATGAAGGCTGGAAACAATAGGTGACATGGCTCAAAATCGTTCTCAGTGGCGCAGATGCATCCACTCCTTGTGACTTATGATTTCCAATGAAACTGTTTTGTTCTTCGTTATTACTATACCTTTGTCTCACACCTCTGTTTATTGACTATATCATGCATTTCTTCTACTTTCTTCTCTTGCTTTGTGTGCTACATGGAGTGTGGCGACTTGAACTACCGCACATATGTGCAAAGTTCTATGTCAAAAACCGACCGACCGACCGACCGACCGCGTGGTGTTGGATAATTGTGACCTTCCCTCCTTCCTTCCGTTTGAGTTGAATCTTGCTGTTATAATCCTGGAGGAGGAAATTGGTTCCGACTGCATTAGAGCCTGGGCTGCTGTTGGTGATATCTTGATAGCCATTCACTGCCTCAGTGTGCTCTTCGTTGTCGTCTGGGTGGCTGGAGTAGATGACTGACTCTCCAGTTGACAGTTTTGATAATCCACATCCATTCCACCTGCTCTCACAGTTTCCTAGCACTTCCATACCATATCTTCTCATTTCTTTGGCAACATGGGAAGCTTTCCCAGCCTCATACATTGTATGAACATTCTGTGTTCCCCTTGTTATTTCTGTTTTAATCGAAGAAGACAAATCGGTTGACCAGTTTCCGGAATGGTTACACCAGCCCGCTGTGTCATTTCATCTCTCCGATTCCAACAAAAAATAAGTTCGCTTTTTATATTTTTTAAAATATTTTTCTTGTGCTTTGAAGTTCCCTTGGCAGACTGATTAGTTTTCCAGGGTAGGGCTAGCTCCACACCCAATCCTCCCTCTTTTCTCGGTCTTGGGACCAGCTAGAAAATTAGCGAGCCAGTAAACTAGTCGAGGTTAATTATAGTAGAAGTTTATTGACTGATATCGAGACTGTCTGGGTTATGGTTTTGACTTGATCCACTACTCTTAATGCACAACTACGTGTATTCAAAGATTTTTTTAAAACTTCTCTTATCCCATAATTTTTGTTTGATATTTCAGTTACTTTAAAGTTGGATCCAAAGTATGAAATATGGACAGCAGGATCAGCAAGCCTGTTCAATCCACTTCTGTTGAATTTGACAATATTTTATAAACCTACTAAAGTATGGTATCCTTTTCATGTGGTGATCCTATTTTTATCAATTTTAACAGTTGGGATTTATTTTGTTTTATCTTTGATCACGAACTGGTCTCAGCTAGAGAACCATTGCAAGGCAGCAGTGTGAAGTGCTGGACAGTTGTTTCGTCCTAGCTTGAGATTCTTCACAATTCTCACACACTGGTGTTCGAATCCAAGATACTTCGGCTACAAGTTAGGCTCATAAGCCATTCAGCTACTTGGGTTTGACCCAGTAGCCTATGAATTCTAACTTCTGTCAGTTCGTGTTGTTTTACCGTGACCACCACCCGTCCATGTCATCGGCCAGACTGGTTATGAATTCTCCCCATAACTGCAGTCAGCTTCTTCCTGTAGCCAGTCAGTCCCTAGCGAGCACCAGATTCATTTTCAAGAGTTTGTTTGCCATGTTATGCGTCAGTAGTTTAACGGTAACATGATCACCAAACACACACACCCACATTTGGTAGTCCACTTCACGTCGTAAGAAAAGCACCCACTGCTACTGGAATTTCAAGAGAGCCACGGAGCTGTTTGTTCCACTAAGAAGGCAAGAAATGCAGAAATATATACATTTTTATATTGTGTCCCGGGTTGATAATTTCAGATAAAGATGCTCAATTCTTTTTTGTCATTCGCTTGGATAACCAAGAATATTTTCAAGTAAACGGAATGAGATATAAAGTTGGAGCACAGTGGCTTTAAATATTCGACTTTCAACCAGTCGGTCTCAACTTTGAATTCCTCTCTATCTACTAAACATTCAATTCCCAATACGAATTTAAAACAAGTAACAAAAGTTAATAAAGCGGGATTTAATGAATTCATCGAATTTCAGTAGAACTCCTCCTCAGCTGAATACTTTGCATAGACAGTCGCATTTCTGTTCCACCTATGCATTTGTTTTCACAAACACACTCAAACTGATATACGCAGTCTGAAGTGTCGAGGATTGGCGACTGGTTTTTCCCAGATTGTTGAAGCACTCGCTTGGTTGTTTTAAGAAAGATGAGTTTTGTGGCACAATAAGCCATCTCGATATCTTTATCGAGTCTTCATTTGACTATACTTTGTACATCATCTCCTTTGAACGGCGAATTGATACATACAGATTTCTTCGGAACTGTTTGGAATGTTTAATTGGGGCCCATTTCTTTAGGGCATTCACCGATGAACTTCTCAGGATATTCATTCTTAGATAAAATATCCTTCAGAGCTTTTATTTCATGCTCAGTTGTATTGTCAGAACAAATTTTCTGTGCTCTGTTGAACAGTGTTCTGACTAAGTTCTTTTTATACTGGATTGGAACAAAGCTCTTGAAATGCGTGTACTGTCTTGTCCATGAAGACTTTCTTAATATAGATCTTTCGATTATGTCATCAGTCTATTTTAATAAAGAAACTTCTAGGAATTTAACGGTATCATTTTCCTCATCTTTCATCGTGGATTTAATTAATATTTGGATGGCATGAGTTGAATTTTTCCAATAGGTCTTTAGCTTTTGATTTGCTTTCACAGGCACTGAAAATATTATCAACATATCTTAGGTATAATTCTATTTGTGTTATATGTGCTGTAATAAAATACCGACTTTTGTCTGAACAGCAACTGATTAATACCACACCGACAGCGTGTGTGATTCCTGCGTGACCTGGTACATTAGCTGTACATCAGAATTTATCATTCATTGATATCAGTTAGAGGAGCTCACGTGACAGGTATTTCTCCAATGTTTAGCAGGTCGTCATCAGTACGCATTGCGTCGGTGGCATAGTGGTTAGGACCCTCGCCGACCATGCACATGGTCCGGGGTTCGATCCCGGCCGACGCACTCCTTTACCTCGCTTAACCAGAAATAATGCTGGTGAAGAGGAAAGGTGGGGCATGAGGCTAGCAACCCCATCCCGTAAAACAAACACTGCTACAGAAACTTCAAGCCACTAGCTTGAAGCCGTATGTTCCACTGGGGAACGTGAAGGAAATAAAAAAAATCAGTACGCATTCATGATGATGTTGACTCGTGAATAAATCTGTTTTGAAATCAGTATGAATATTCTTCTTCTAGTCATTGATGACCAGTTTCAAGAAGGATGTCCTAACTTTTTATTCGGAAGTTGTGACTTCTGTGGGTCTAACGACACCTCGTGTGAATCGAATGCTGACTACGGATATTGGAATCAAACTCAGTGATTAAGTTGTCGACATGACCAGATTAAACGTTGAACATTATTTCTTCATGATGAATAATCTCCATCCAGACATTAATGAAAACAAAACACGTAGTTCAGTGGAGAGTCTCTTTTTTGGGCGACGAACTCATTCACTTAGCTAGCTGGGCAACCTCAATGATGCATAATTATTTCTGCATATGTGTTGTACATTAGATTTGTCCGATAAGAATAAAAATAAGTTAGGCTTATTGTTGTCAGGAGATTTCAAAAATGCAATTTTTAGAACTCTTACATATACAACATCTTACAGAATTCCATATTTTCCTTCGTTTCTATGTCTATCCTAATCACAACTCACTCAATAAACAATTCATCTGTTATGTCTGTTATGTCATATACATAGACCAAGTTAGTAGAACAATGTCAGTTATATCATCAGAAGGCAAAACTTGACAAATTCTGGATTACTTGACTCTAAGAAGATAAAAAATCTAGAAAATGGCTCAGCTATAGCACTATATGTCGTCAGGTGCACACGCAATCATACAATAGGATGGGGCAAGATGATCGTTCTGAAATCTAATAGAATACGGTGTAGGGAGGGGGAAAGAGATAGATTGGTAACTAATGCTTATTGATTGAATCAAGTAAGGATACGGGGGATACAGTTGACTCAGTACCTGTTCTGGACATCTGTAAATTCCACTACACTTATAACAAATGAGACTGAATAAAGAGGATTTTAGAAATCAAATTTCGAAATAGTGTAGTTACAGTTGACATGATATGATTAGGAGCAATAATCTGTTATTAGGATTCATTTAGCGGATGGTGACCAGCGGTGGAATACGGGATGAGCATTTCGTCCTGTTTAGGACTCGTCACTGGATGTATCTGCATTCCCCAGTGAGTGAGTGACGATGTTCCCACCGAGGTTCAAACCAATTGACCATAGTTTCAAACGCCAAAGCGTCATCCACTAGACCACTTGGGCCACTAGAGCCACTTCTTTTGTTGATGAGTCCCAAATAGGACGAAATGCGCATCCTGATTTCCACTGCTAGTCACCATCCACTAATTAAATTCTAATTGCATTCCCAGACATCGTCGAAGCATCTGCACAAGAAGCTGATATGTAAACCTAAGACCGTGCATTTCGGTACAATCAATCGACGGGGAAATCTTTAATTCAATTAAATAATCTTTTATGTTGGAAACGTCGTCATCCAGTAAATAGTGCTGTTACAATATGTGGTCATTTAATTTATTTTGATGTAGTTGTGTTCTCTACGCTGGATGGTTTAGTTGGGAAGCTTTCATTACCTTATTAGACAATATCCCCAATGCTTACTTCAATTTTTGAAGTAAGCTTTTAAAATGCTCTATGAGTCTATTCGTTATCTCTCCCGGTTAGCCCAAATTTTGAAGTATGCGCTGTGAATGTTGTCCAGTAGGACGATAGGAACTTCTCTTCTAAGCCATCCACAAATGTACACCGAAATCATCCACTTGAGCTACAGATCTTCTCCATGATATACCAGATAATGTTGTTGTTGTTGTATGAGGAAGGCTTCGGCTTGGTATATGCAACACACATGTCATAGCCATCTCAATCGATGTAGCTTTATGACTTCATTGATTCACATCCACTCCTTGCCTAGTACTGTACGTCTAGCCTCAGTATTGCTCAGAGGAAGTAGAACTCAAACATCTCTGGTCAAAGACTAGACTAGTCTTTCCAAATATTCCATTTTCAATGACCATTTCTCATATGTATAAAGCAGGAGAGACAGAGAGAGAACTGGTGCTCAGTACAGACGTCTTCTGATTGATAACTAGCTAAATATCACGTCTGTGCCAGAGACGATGTAGGTTGGCAAGTAATACACGAGACTTTTTGTATCCGTGCTGAGATTTTGTCAGAAATCAATCAGTCCATTAGAGCTGATGTAACTCCCATAGGTAAGTGAAGTGGTCAAAACTCACTGTCACTTCACTCTCTATCTTTAGGCTAGGAGTCAGTGTAGGCCAGCTGCTCAGCATCATCCTTCACTTGGTGGGAGCAAATCGCATTTCAGAAAATCTCCAGAAATACCTGCTCAATGTGTTCAGGAGGATCTAAATTTTGTCAACCTCGTTACCTAGAAAGACGCTATCATTGACAGATGCCGAGTCGATATGACTGCACCTTGGTAACAAGTCAATCCCTTAGTCACTGAAGTCAATTAGGGTCATTTTCAGCAGTGAATCTGTGATGAAATTAAATAGAAATGGGGACGTTGGGCATCCCTCACAGACACCACTGGTAGTCATCACTTCAGATGACAACTCCCAATAAGCTCTTTCACAGCACAGTGAGCTCGAGTGATGTTCCTCGATTAGTGCTCATAATACTTTCTCACCACTCCCTTCAAGGCTGGACACCATTTCTATGTCTGAAAAGTCGAATGCCACCTTGAATTAAAGAAATACGACAAGTGTTGAATGTCAATAAGTTTGTTTATATTCCAGAATCTGTCGAAGGATAAAGAGATTATAAATACAACCTCTTGTTGACCTATAGTCTGTCTGGTTTTCTTGTGCTTGTTTCTCCTGGGAAACACTTAATCTGCTGATGATTACTGAGCGTAAAACTCTAGATAGCGTGTTAGTCAAGCGTATCCCTCTATGGTTGTCACAAGAAGACTTGTCTTTTTCCTTAGAAATTGGGATAATGAATGATTTAAACTAGTCTAACCGGACTGTCTCTTCTTCCCAGACATATTTCACCAATGTCCTTAAACATCTCTCAAGTCATTCCATCAGGTTATGTTGCTTCGCCTCGTTGCTGGAGGACTAATTTAGACATTCCATTCAAGTAGGTGTTAGATACTTGACAGATTGAGCATGCTTTCAGGTAAGTTGAATTATTCTTCATGTATATATTATGTATATCAGTTAAAGGTATTTTCCTTAATTCTTTCACTTTTATACCATTGAATACATGTATTCATTTAAACAAAAAACAAACACTTCAAGGTCACATCCAAATCTCTTTCATATGCTCTGGTGGGGATGGATACAATACTTTCCAATATTATTATTCAGTTTATTTGTAGGCGATAGAATTAAAGCCTTTGTATATGGACATCAGTTAATCAGTGGCTCTATTATGAAATATGATCCGATTCTTTTGAAAAAATAACACTTTTTATGTGAACTCTATTAATAATTGTCTTGATTAATGATATTTTGACAAGAAATATGCTCCTATTTGTTGTTTTCCTTCTTAATTTCTCCTGTATTAATCAATGAATTAATCGGTAGTATGCACTCACACTATGGGGTTCGGACTCAGGACCTTCCGGTTACAAGGCACTCAGACACTGGGACGAGATTCTATTGTCCATGAATTCTAACTTCTAATAATTCGTGATTTTTAGCACGAACACCAACCAATGTCATCGGCAGGAAGTCCATCCTCACACTTGACTGGATGCACCTCACTGGTCACGACGTCTCGCTAGAACTCCAGGAAACTCCAGATTAATTTTCAAGAATTGGTTTGTAAGGATTATATTTATTTTTTCCGCAAGTTTTACCACGGATTGATATCAATTAGAGAGTCATTGAAATCCCACCAGGGAGTACTGGACAGCTGTTTCTTCAGCCTAGTTTGGGAATCTTCGGCAGCAGACACGCACTGGGGTTCGAACCCATGACCTTCCGGTTACAAGGCAAGCTTGTCTAGTTCTGTAACTGATATCAGTAGTAAGTGGTCAAACTCAAAAAGAAAACAATCCTTAGAAACAAACTCTGAATTAATATTTGGAAGCGTTGATGCATTAATGAAATTGAAAATGCTTATTTTGAATGCATATTATGTGAAGAGAGTCGATTACCTCATTGACGATGCGGGTTGACATATGTCCGATGGAATATGAATTGTTTTCAAGGTTTGTAGATAATAATAATAATATACTTTATTCCAAAAACAGTACTTATAATACAGAATGGAATTTTCAGTATTTGTCACAATATTTCGTCTGATTTACTCAAAGTGTATATAAAATTAAAAATTAAAACAAAAATTAATCAGAGGAATTTGTCCACATTTACGACATAATTATTAGATATAATAATAATGATAATAATGATAAATACTAATAACAGTGAGTTTGTTTCAAACGGTATTGTCGATTCAGTTTGGAAACTTTAGCATGTTATGGATAATTGGGTCTAATGTTCTGTTGATATAGTATAGTGAGGTGAAATACAAAGTTAACAGTCATAATACAGCCTAAAATTATGTCCACACTTATGAAAAATAAAATAAACAAAACGAAAAATTGAGAGGATTATAAGTGTAAGAAATACAATAACAATAAAGTATGATGCTTTAAGGGCGAAGGAAATGGTCTATTTGGTGGTGCTAAGAAGGTTAGTTTGTTCATTTCTGACGCTTTTTTCATCACATAGAGTACGTGCTAAATATGGTGTAGTGGAATTGGTATACTTAGACGTACGTGCATAAAGTCTTCTGTAAAGACTTCTTGTTTTACCTGAGGAGACACAAGGTTGGAGCTGTTGGTAGAGTGAGTGCTCAGAGTCTGACAAAATTCCTCTAGCGAATTTGTTGCATGACATCAAATGTCTATCGGTGACAATGCCAACGATATGGCCCAATGGAAAACCACTCATCCTACTGACAGTCTTCAGAGTTCTACGAAGTATAACATAGTCCTTTTTAAGCAATCCAGGAAAGAATAGGAGTGAACAGTAAAGAATAATAGGTAAAATACACAAGTTGATAAACTGAAAGAGGAGTGGTTGAGTTATGCCCGAGTGCCTTAACTTTTTAATGTAAAAAGTCAAACGAAATATTCTTTTAGAAATCGCTAAGACATGAGAAGACCAGGATAGGTCAGAAGAGAGAACTAATCCAAGATACTTAACTTCAGACTTGGTTTCTATATCAGTATCATCGATTTTGCAAGGGTCATAGGAACCAACGGCTTCATTTAACTTTCGTTTACATCGGAAACTGAAATTAACAGTCTGACATTTGGAAGGATTAAGTTTAAGGCCGTTAGACGAAGACCATTTGCCAATTTCTGATAGAAAGTTGTTAATCTTAATACAGTCAAGCTGAGAGTTAACAGACATTGAAATAGTTAGATCATCGGCATATTTAACAAAGTTCATTTCATCGGAGTAAGGCAAGTCATGCAAGAAGAAAGAAAACAGAAAAGGAGAAATGACAGCGCCTTGAGGGACACCAGCCTCAGTAAGCAATGAAGTGGACGACTTTCCCTGACATACAGTGTATTGCTTTCTTTCTGAGAAATAAGAATGGAGCCATTTGACAACCCAACAGTCAGTTTGAGTTTCAGCAAGCTTGTTTAGTAAAATGTCCCTAGGTACTGAATCAAAAGCAGATGTGTAATCCAGGAAGGTGCAACGAACAAATTTAGCCTTTTTGTCTAAACTGGAGACAATGTTATGATGCAAGACTGCAGCTGCATCTAAGGCACTTCTACTGTGTTTGTAGGCGAATTGTTTAGGATCGTTAAATGATTTAATTGAACGTTGAAGATTAAGTAAGAGTAAATTTTCCATAGCTTTTAGAAAAGGGGAAGTAATAGCAATGGGTCTAAATTTAAAACATGTCGCGGTAGACGACTTAGGAATAGGTACAATTTTGATGTCCTTCCAGGCGGCTGGCACGACATTTTTGGAAAAAGATTCATTAAATATATCCATGAGAGGATAACACAGGATATCTGCACACCTTTTAAGAATAACACCAGGCAAACCATCTGGACATAGGCTATAAGAAGGGTTCATAGACTGGAGACATTTTAGAACATCATTTGTAGTAAATCATGGTGATGAGTGCTAACAAGGACAGTAGCTAGGTCTACCTAGGGTTTCAGTGTATGACGCAGCACACCTATTCGAAGATGTCTCTTCTTCTTCTTCTAACGGTGCATTGATGCATAATCACAGAAGGTAGAAAGTGATAAGAAAGTGATGATTGCTTGGTATTTTGTTAATACATAAATGACGAATTCATTCATTTAACTGTATGACTACAGTCATTTGTACATACATTGGTTATGTTTGTGCGTGCATATATTCGGTTTAAACTGTTAAAAAAAGGAAAAGAATATCAAATATTGTTGAGAGAACATTCTTCGCATCTAAGTTAAGACGGCTATTTTTCTGACGCTGTATGTTCACGAATAGCTCAAAAGATAAACTGTGGCATTTCACCACTTCTATGTATGTATCCGCCAGTTTACTTCTTCCACTTCACTTCAGTGAGATAAACAGGTCGTTCAGTGCGTGTTTCAAAGAATCAAAGGACATCATCCCAAATGGCCGTGGAAAGGTCACAGTGGGTTGATTTGGGGTGATATGTGAATGAGTAAGTTTTTCAACCTCTAAGGGAAATTCATTCAAAGTTATGTACAAAATGCCATTGCTAAGGCCTAAGACGAGCACATGGAGAATCCTAATTGATATGCACAGGAGAAACTTTCATTGAACATTGCTAGCCCGAATTGCTCAGTGGTAACGTCTCTGACTGAAGCACTCACTAGATGTCACGAGTTCCTTCAAGGTTGCAGATAAGCCTTAGTGACTGACGAGTGCCAACTAGCACGAAACCTAGGTCCTGTCAAGGCTTCCTTTGACCAATTGCCTCTAACCATCCAACATCAACAGGATAAACTTCTCCATCGACATTCTCCTAATTGGGACGTAAGTGCAAACTTCGTTGTTGTCGTTGTTCTTGAGGTTTTAGGATCATCAGTATAGGCTGCTGAGGGACATAAATCAACTCAGGTTAGTTATTGTTACAAATTTATGAATACTAGACAGAACTGAGGTAATCTTTCGATCAAAGAATACATGAGAACCTTGAATAATCTACTGAAAAGGGATCATCTGTTAATTACGAAATCTGATAAGTGTTCACGAGTGGTAGGTAGTCAGGAAGATGACAGATTATTTCTAGAAAATGAGTACCATCCTCAATGACCATCAAAAAAAAATTCAAAAATATCTCACCTTCTTTTGATCCAACTGAAAAGATTGAGACAGAGTTAGTGGAATCATTAAAAAAAGTTTGAAACAACAGCAACAACAAGGCTGCATCTCACAAAGTTTGAATGCATTGCTAAAAGCCATTGATACATTCACAGACAGACTGTGTAGTTAGCCAGAAGTGGACAGAATTGATATACCACGTTGATCAGTATCAGATATGTTTGACTCTGCATATCATCCGACAGTCAGTTGATTATTGGAACTCCTACAGATGTCACACAGTGGTGAATTGGTGAAACGCAGCGTAGAGGATGCCTTCGACTTTTTCTAAAAGGATAGGGAATGTAGACTTGAAAAGTAAATTTATAATATCGTTTCACGTATCTTCTCTATTCGCTAATGTACTGTTGATGGGGACAGTGGATTTCGCACCTGCAGACTTTATTAGAGAAAAAATCAATATTAGCATTGCTGTACATTTGATTGGACACTAGTCATTAACTAGTGTAGTGCAGACTTAATTCTACTAGTCAGTCAAGTTTGCAATGTGGCCACCAATAAGCTAGGTGGCTCGACAACCTTTTGCACTGTGAATTGTTCATACTAGATGTCTGTAGGTAATCGGCAGGAAGCCTTGGAGGGACCTAGATTTCATGCTAGTTGGCACTCACCAGTCAGCTAGTAGTACCCGTAACCTGAAAGGAATTAAGTCCCTTCTGCAGCACTGGGTGACTCGGGTTTGGATCTCAGAATGGAAATGAGTTCTTTCAAGGCTGCAGATACGCCTCGCTGACTGATGAGTGCCAACTAGCACGAAACCTAGGTCCCGGAAAGGCTTCCTGTGACCAATTGTCTCCAACCATCTAACACTCCCATACCTTCTATAAAGGGACTTCTTTTGACATTTACAATGACTGTTCATCTTCAATTTAATAAAGAATTCTACAGACAAATTGATGGTGTGACTATGGGGTCACCATCGGTAATAATTCTAGCTGATTATGTGATGCGTTATGAATGTGTTGATTTGCGATTACGACTTTATTTGAGTGAATTAAGGTCATTCTTACCTTGGATTGTCTGCGGAAATTGTGGGTGTGTTATTCTTGTGGACGGAGTTTGCAATCCCATCTTTCTGGAAATATTCTCTTTGATTGTTTCCAGGGAATTCTTACAATTCAGTTTGGTTTAACTAATATTGTTCTACAGTACTTGTTTTGTACTCAGAAAGTT